ACTAAAGCGTGACCTCCTTTCGCTGCACGTTTTGTTCTTTGAGCTTGCATCCAGCGCCACACCACCACCTATCACGCTGGAGAGATAAATAGTTCATATCTGCCAAATCTTGCAAGCTGAGCAATGACCCAGTGAAGTTCTTTTAAGAGTCAAAAGTTCATCGTCTCACTGGGGTTCCTGATGCCAAACAACATTTGGAGCCAACCTAAGCCAATCCCCTGAAACAGATAAGCATATTGCCACTGTCATCATTTTCTTCAATTAATAATTATTGAAAGTGCATAGGAATCTTGGGGAGGTATGAGGACGAGTGAAAGAGAAGAAAAACCCACAAAGACAGTTGGTATGGGACAGCCCGGATCAGAACGCTCACCTGTGACTCTGAACAAGCAAGTAGGCATCAAAAAAGAAGGCTTGTCACCCAAAAACCCTTCCCTGGTCCTGACCATCTAGCCTATGTTGTACCTGAGTTATGATTCTTTCAATATTACTCCTGGGTATGTCTTGCCTTCTCCACTCAACTACAGGTTTCTTAAGAACAGAACTAAGGGCTATTAGGCTGAGATCCAGGCATGTCTCTACTACTTAATAACTGGGCAAACTTTGGCAAGTGACCTACCCTCTCTGTGTACCACAGTTACCTCACCTGTAACGTGGAGATAAAAAAGGTGCCTGCCTCAAAGGACTGCAGTAAGGTTGAATGAGTTCATACTCGGATCAGAACATATGAACTACTGATCATTTCCATAGGCTCTACAAGGGCCTCACTGCCTTTCATACAATAGACATTCATTAAATAATTGAAGACAAAACAGTCTGCCCATGGAGCTGTTTTCTCCATTCCTCTCACTCCTCTCCTAACCTTATCTTTGTTGAAAGTTAGGTTAAGTTTCTACCTTCATTAGAGGAAAACAGCCATTTTGTGCTATACAGATAGCCCATCTAAACAGCTCAGGTTAACAAAAACAAATCTTAAGTAATCCACAAATTTTCCCTAATTACATTAAAACAGACTGCTCACTAACAGAAATGTAACCAGATCATTCCCAACCTCCCTTTCACTTGATCCATGAAGTCTTAGGCTAACCTTCTCCCCAGAGCCAAGGCTCACCAATTCTTTATTTTCTATAAAGTATAAATGGGAAGCCAAATTGTTCAAAGAGATGTGTCTAACAACTAGATATACAAGGAATGTGTGTGTGTGTGTGTGTGTGTGTGTGTGTGTATCACTTTTAAAAGGGTCTGCAGAAACCCTCCAGGAATCCTCCAAAGTTATAAAATACACCCATATTAATGTAATTTATCAAAGTACAGTAAATGAATTGCCACAAATGAACAATTGCTACAGAGTCAAGTAGATGGCACATTGTGATTTACGCATATCACATGAGATGAATAAATCAATGGTGGAAAAGATCAAAGGAAACACTGGAATTGTTGTTAATATGTACAGGGCTTCACTGAAAATCTTAATAAAACTGTTTAGAGAAAAATAGAAGGATCATTTGTTTAAATGAAAAGAGATACCGCATGCACTGAATTTCAAAAGCAGCATTCATTTTCATACACACACACATTAGATTTAGCTAAAATTAGCTCGAGTTCCTATTTTTTAAAAAAGATCTTAAAGAAATAAACGTTTCAACAAGATTTCACTGAGCTGCAGTTCAGCATTGAGCTTCTGAGGAGCCTGAGCTTCTGTGGAAGACCCCCCATGATCCACCCATATATCACCCAACCTCTCCACCCACCCACCCTCCTTCACCCCAAGACACAAAGCAGGAATACACGAAGCCTGGGCCACACCAACATTCAAGCCACTCTCTGCTGCCTCTTACTTTTTCTCTACATATTCTACACTGGCTGATGTCATCCCTGAATTTAGTCATCTCCTCTGGTGTGTCAAACTTTTTGCCGGGCATCTAAGAACCCAAAGCCCAGTTTTAAAGATCACTTCCATGCCAGTAACTCCTCCAAATTTGTCTCCAAACCTGATCTCTCAGCAGTATTATTCTCACACTCTCTACTGCTTACCTGACTCGAGAAACTAAGACATCCACCAGCACCTATGCTTTAGGCAAAATGACCTGGTCAGTTACATACCATGAACTTCTTTATGTCCCGGCCACTTAAACGGCCTTCCCTGTGTTCTATCCATCTCTTCCCACCGAAATGCAATCCAGTCGGCAGAGCTCAATTCAAGTGATCCCTCCTCCTCAGTGTCTTTCCTGATCACTCCTACTCAGCATCAGGCTTCCGAATTCCTTCACTGTTAGAACACTGTCAGAATCTTATTCTGTTTGTATTCATTATTTCTGAGCATTTCTTCTTTTCCCTGCCTGACCATGAAGAGTATAACCTCCTTCCGGTAGCTCTTATTCATTTTTATTCTCCCAGCACCATGCAGTAGTTTAAAAAAAATTCACAATGAATAAATGAATGAATCACTTCTTTACATAAATAGTGACTGTGAACAAGTTAGGTCGTAACTTGCTACAGCTATATCATATTTATAAAATAAGTAGAACCAGAAATAATTGTAACCTAGGTTTTAAAAAAAAGTGAATGAATATAACAGAGTGCAACACAAATACTATTTCTCTGCCCACGTTTAGCCATCAATCGTGAGGACTGTAATGAGGCCATTATTGATGCAAAATGTTTAGATAATGCTTATAAGCTTCCTTTAAGTGCAATCATAGAAAATGTCAACTGCTTAAAATTCAAGGTGATTTTGCACTACTTTGTCAGTAATACAATATGAGTATTCATAAGACATTTAGACTTGCCTAATGTACTATAAAAGCCTGGGTCTCTTCTCAATAAGCTGTATAGATTAACCAAGACATATGACTTTTTACTGTCTGTTTTTTCACAATACAATTCTTAAGACATTTCTCTTAGCACAAATGATTCTCTTTAAACTCCACAGGTTAAAAAATTGCATATGTTCTTACCCCATGTGCAATTAAAATCTTTCCCCAAAAATCTAAATGCAAGGATTTTCTGCTTAGAACATAATTGTTAAAACGGGTAACATCACTGAGCTAAAGTAGCAGTAAGATACCCCACCCTTTCCATTCAGCTAACACTTGTAGATCTTAAGAGGCTTACCTTTGCATGTAACTTCAGGTTATTCTATCTCCACTTAAAGAACACGTCTCTAATCTACAGCCAATAAGATGTGAGAAACCCAGTTCCATATTCTACAAGGATGTAATATTTGTGAAAAGCCCTCCCTCCACCTTGTCCCCCACTAGGACTTTCTGGCTACTCTGTCTGAGGCATAATACTTCAGTCCCTCAGGTTTTTGTTTGTTTTTATTCAGACCACAAATAACTCCATTTATGCATGCAATTCATCAGTTCATCCTACAACCATCTAAAAAAAAGTAATATATATGTATCCTATCACAGTAAGAGAGTTGTGATAAATTCAGAATTTAAAATTCAGAAAAATAAATAAAAGGCTCACTGGCTTTGCACAGCTACAGATGTCTAACAGGCCTGGTTCAAAGACCAAGGTCCAGGTATATTTACTTGTTCCTAGTCATGTATGGTCCAGGAGTAACCATCACAAAACACAACCATTACAACCGCCCTGTCAAGAGATAAGCAACATGCTAACAATGATAACCTATGTTAATAGATTACAAACCGTATGCTAGGCACTATTCTATCCACTGTACATATATTATTTCACTCCGCCCCCACAAATGACTTATAAGAAAGTTCTGATATCTCCATCTTACATACAAACAAACTGAAGCCTGGAAAAGATATAGGACCACTCAAGATCAGAGTGGCAGCTCCAGATTTTTAAGTCCAGACCCACTGGTTACACAGCTCAGCAATCTCATCTCAGATGCCATGGAATTCATATTTAACTTAAACACTGGTTCTTACCTGTAGAGAGGGAGCTCTTTCTTTAAAGAAATTCAGTCAATCATTTTTTAAATGAACATTTTGATAAAGCAAATATCCACCCCTTGACAAAATGAGTTTTTGAAACTCCAGATTTTTGGATATGAGGTTTGGTAAAAGTAGACTGTACTCACGAAGTAAGGAAATAGAACAGTATTTTGGAAGAGCTGCCCAGAGACCATCCAACCCAAACCTGTGAGGCATCGGTACCTGGAAGATCAATGATTCCAGGAGACCAGTATGGACTATTTTGATTCAGGAGGTCTAGGGTGGAGGCTCATGCTCTATTTTTTAAGCTCTCCAGGTGATTCTGTTGTCCACACAGGCTCTGGAACCTCTGATCTAGTCTATCTTCACAGCTTTAAGCAGGACTGCTTCCAAGACAAATAGAAATTGATCCCCTATTTTCTATTTCACAATATCCTTTAGCTGCTACATCCAACCCCTTCTTTCCCAGTCCCTTAATGCCCCAAGTTCTAATAAACTTCCATGTCTCTCATGATTTCAATTGAGGCAATATCCTCTTGCCCTCTCCAGCAGAGAACCATGAGTCATCACCCTTGCATACACTCTGTGTCTGCATGACTTTTCAGGTCAGAAAAATTTACTGTACATGAGGAAATCAGGAAGTTGTAAAATCCAAACAGACACAAAGAAATTCAAGATTCAACAAATACTCATTGCCACTAAACAAACAGGTCTCTGTTTCACTATGCATGTATTATACTATAACAAAAGCCTAAAATGTGACTTAAGATAACTGGCTGCACAGAATTCTTAATTACATTAAGGAACAGTGACAAAATGCTCCAGATCAAGCCCCAAACAGCAATAAGCAATCATCACAAAGTCAAATGAATTTCTTCAGGAACCAAATAAATTAAACCAAAAAGATAGATACCTTAATGCAAGTTTTCCAAAAAACTATCTTGGCAATTTCTCAATTTCCCACACAATATAATTTGTAAAGAAAATTATATTCAACAGTCAATAAAGTGCTAAGTATGGCTAAAAGGCAATTTTCCAGGCTAGACTTTATCCTCAGATGGAAAACACAGAGCGTTGCAAAACTCTCACCTGACATGTGATGCACTTCCTGGTAGTGGCAGTAGAGGAGGAAACTGTTGAACAAGGATGACAAGCAAGTCTGCGGCTTGAATGGACCACCTTGGTGACTTGATGCACGATGCTCCTGCAATGGTCCAGGGAGTGCAGGAGAGGAAATCCAAAAATGAAAAACAGAATACACTGCTTTAAAAAATAAGTTCCCCTTAAGTGTCTATGCACTGAAATACGAATTTTAAGAACATCACATTTGGCATTCTGTTGTATGAGAATTACACAAATACCTGCCAGTTCAAAAGGCAGGTCTGGTTTTATTCAACAGGGCTCAGAGGGAGGCCAAAATACAAAAAAGTTCGTCTTTTCCATCAAATTAAGAAGTTGGTCTTCCCATGTGAGCCAACCACTATCATTCTTTTCTCCAGTGGTTCTAGTCAACCATCTGATAAACACATGCTGGCAATCACAAGGAATATCAGGTGAAAATGGGCATGGATTGAACACTAATTGAGCCAAAACCTAATTTTAATGTGGCATATATTATCTATCAACATGCAACTTGCAAGACCATCATGAAAGAGCACAGCTATTAGCATCCCAGTCCAACGGGATAGAAAAAAGTATAAAAGAAAGAAAAAAAATGTTAACAGTGTATGCATATTCACTGGACTTTCCACTAAACTTTATTTAATTATTGAATGTATATCTATTTCATTTTCATTTTGCCACGATGCCTTGCACATGATTAAGTAAAAATTATCCATTGTATGATGAATGAGTGAATGTGTGAATGGATGAATGAAAGAAAGAATGAATGAATCTTCCATATACCTTTCCATCAGGGAGCTTGGTGCTTGTAGTAGTTTTTGTGAGGTAAACACCTACGCATAGAAATGGAAGAAGTTGAGGACTTGATCTGCTAATATACTTTTTTAGATCTATCTGTTAAAACTATATTTTTAAATACTGGTAATTCCCAGTTATTCACATTAAACAGAAAAAAATCAGTAGCACAGTTACTATAAAATAATCCCCAAACTACTAAATGCTGGACTGATTTTCAGTCTTAGATTACTGGAGCTGATCTGCATATTTGTTTAGGCTGATTTTAAATTTAGCTTGGGTTTCCTAAGCTCACGCCAGGTAACAGTAGGAAGAAGAAGGCCCAGGATTATATTGGGTGTCAGAAATAAACTATTCTGGAGCTACGAATATGATCTCCAATGTGAATAATCTGTAAACAGGTAAGCGAGCCAATTATCCTTGGGTACATGGCAACACATCTCGGTAGTCATGATTCTTTTCATCCATACACACTCACTATTTTTAAGAGCACAGCCCAGCTGGAAAGGAAAATAACTTCCATTTCTTTCCAGCACTTTTCAAAGTAATGAACAGTAGCCAAAATATTCTTACTTCTAACTAATCCATTCACCAAGCATTTATTTAAGCATTGATTGCATGCCTGGGGCTGACATGCAAAAGAAGTCATTTTTGTAGTCCTTGGTCTCCTCACATGTAAACTGTGTGTATAGAAAAGAAAGGTGAGGTAAGCCGTTTTAAATCCTTAGAAGACACTGTCTTTCCACCAAGAAGCTTGTTGAGTTACAAATACTAAGAGTGACCAAGTGAAACACAATTCACAAAATTATATTTAATTTTACACAGTACTTCTTTTTCAGGGGAGGGGAGGTCTTGATTTTATCTAGTAACATCTCAACTGAAGCACCAAAATACTTGATTTTCAAACGAGGTACAGATACCGTGGATTTGCAGACGGTGCTCTAAGCTCAGGGTATGGGAGAGTGTTTGGTTGTATATCAATGTATGCGCACACAATCCTATTTACATATCACCTGGCAGATAAGGTTTTATAGAGTCCAAATTACAGCCTCCTCCTATCCTGCTGAAGTGCAGAGGACAGTCAAACATGATGCAAATGCTGTAAAAGATTAATTTACTCTCACATTGGTATGCCTTCTTATTTCAAAAGTACTAGTGTTGCTACACTAGTTAAGATAATAGAGTTTATACTACTTGTATTCCACTGGAGGGAAGAAACACAAGAATAAAACTAAAGCAGCATGATTCTTTGCCAAAACATACGAACAACATATAACATATAGTAAGGCATAGAATGCTTTATACAGTAATAAGCACATAAAATGAACATTCTATACCTTAAAAACACAATACAATACTATTAATAGTAGAAGCAGCATAATACAATACTATGAATAGTGGAAGATTACCAAGAAAAGTAGCCTAAATAAAACTGATATGATGATCAGTACATACCATGAGATAATGTGGGAGAGGGGACTAAAACTAAGGGTACAATAAAGTAAGATCTGCATACACAGTAACAGAATAATACATTTTCCTTGAACGTTAGAAGCATAAGTGCTTATAGGTTAACAGCTACAATAATCATTACTAAAAACTTCTGCTAAGTAACTCATTCGAAACTTGCTATGTTAAAGGGCACCTTGGTGGAAAAAAAGAGTTTCTGTTAGCCCAAATCAAAACACCATCATCAGGGGCAACCTCTGCCTTAAGTCTCAAATTCTGATTACACTACACTGAATTTTCTGAAAAGTAATTTTCAGGTAGAATATCATTTTTGCTTACATTATGGCAATTATCATTACATTTTCATTACTCCACAAACAGGATGCATTATAAGTTATAGAAAAATCAATGAAACATTTCTGTTAACATGGAATATGTCAAACAAAATATAATGCTTGTTGCTTTTTGTCTATAATAATTCTAAACACATTTTAGTACATTTGGGATAATAGGAATACATAGTACAAATATTTAGAGTATAATAGCCTGAAAAGTTCAAATTTATGAGAATTATAAAATATATTACTACATTGGTAATTATGAAAGGAGAAAAAAATCAAAACTGTTTCCACAAATAGATTTAGCCAAAACATTCTTTTTATTACTTCTGTAAATTTAAGCCCTTATGTATTTTTTAAAACTTTGATAACTGCAGCTCTTTCAGTCAACATTTTAAAAATTCTGTAAAACTAGCACCCTATATACTTACACTGCTTCTTAAAGAAATTTTGGATGTGTACATTTATTTTATTAAACTAAATTAAATGAACATAAAATGTGAACAGTGTAATTGATGACTAAAATTTTTTTAATCTAGTAAAAAAAAGTCCTATATGTAATATTCTAGAACAGAAATTATCACTATTGGGATTTCTAGAAGTTATTGTTTTCAATGCTTTTACAAAATAAAGAAGGCCTGCTTCTGAAAACCTTGGAAATATGACCAACTAAATCTATTATTTGAAGCAATTAAACAGCACAGATCTAAATCTCTCGCAGAAACCAATCATTCAAACTATTGAATTACTCTGAAAATATAAAGCAACAGAAGTCACATAATCCGTCTCTCCCCTAAAAACGATAGCTTATCTTGCTATCATAGCTGTCTTGCTATGTCACTTTTCCTGTGCAAGTATTTAAGCTTTTCAGATTTTAAACTATGTGTTACTTTCAGATAACTATAGTATAAAGAATTTAGCATTCTCTCCCACTTTAGCTACTTATGTGAGTTTCAGAGTTTTAGTAAAATATGTTTATTGCCTTTTAACAGAAAACAATAAAACAGGTGCTACAGTTTTAGTCATCAGAAACTGTCATTCGAGGTATGTGCAAAAGCAAAACCCACTTGACATTTCAGCATGGAAAAAAATAAAGGCACAACATTATACAAAAGGAATGTGAATCCCTGAACTCTACAATGACAACAAAAACAAGTCACAGAAATGTTTACTAATATTTTGATAACCTCTTAACATGGGCTCCATGAATCCCAGACAACTGAGTTAGGTATGCCGAAACTTAAGGCCCATCTACAGGCATTTGACATATAATCTGGTAGCTAAAGAGTTTTTGTTTAATCGTTCTCTAAAAATAAAAGATAATTCAGAGGCCCTGAAGACTAGTTACAATATTTCTGATAAAGTATCACTTCGTTTACCAAATCCTCTTAAAACAAAATCCAGAAAGGAAAATATTGTCATACACGGTTCCCAATAAAGTGCAGTTTTCGGACTTATCTTAGCATGAACTTGTTTGTGCACTGAAAAATATATGCTCACACTTCACTGCAAGTTAAGCATTTTTCTGTATGGGGCAAGATAGAATCCCAGACCTCCAAAGCACAGCATAAAACTTAAAACTTCTGTGCTTCTCATCTGTTTATCTACCAGAAATAATAGCTCGTTTTAACCACAACACAGCTTCAATTGACCAGGCCACAATGAATTTACCAACTGCATAGACTGACTAAAGGGTAGTAAGTCTCAAACCCCCTATGAGGAGAGTTAAGTAACTCTTTCAATCCTAGTCCTGGGGGAAAAAAAAATTACCAGTTTAGCTATTGGATCATGAAACTGTACACTGACAGGCAGGGTCACAACTAAACCAAGACATTATTATTCTCAATTATCTTTGCTTTCAAATATTAGGGTTATTAAAATACTCCTCCCCTTAGTTGAGTTCCCTAAGCAGTGCAGAGCTTCAGCAACTAAAGCCACTTTTTTCTCTTTTTGCCATAGTATTATTTTTCTTTGCTTAGCAGGCTTAATAAGTGGTGCCCTAATGCAAAGACCAGGATACTGCCTTCTAACTGCTCATTAAATTATATCCAAAAATAGAGTACAAGTTGTTTAGTGTGCAAGAGCACCACGCATTATCAGTCTTCTAGCTATAGGCCTTTATCCTCTCTCCATTAACTGAGGAAAAACAAAACAAAACAAAACTTTTAACTTACTACCAAAGATCATTGAAGATCACAGCCAACAGATCCAAATTAAGAATGAACACATTCGGAATGTCTGCCTACTGTCAGTACCAGTTTGTGCTGTGAAATTTTAAAATGTGGCAATGGGAATATACTTCCTGAAAAAGTTATTTCCTCTGAGTAAAACCCTTTAGAAAGCCAGCCATTACGATGGGCAATGCCGGTTCTGAAAGACGAGCACTCTTTCCACTTGAAAGGGTTAAGTGCCTGCAAGGCCAAAGGCACCAGGCTGCAAAAGAAATGTTGCTTTAGAAAGCTCTGAAAGGTTTCTAACAAGTACCAAATACTTGTTGATCTGTTCACAATAAACACCAGCAGGATTGTCAGGTTCCTTTCACTGTCTGGGGAGAAGCATTTACATACTGCACCAAGTAAGAACAGCTTGTTGGTCTCCTTTATAAAAGTTGAGTAGTTAGATGCCTCATTTAGTGTCTCCTGTCCAAATGACTGAAAGAAGATGCAATTGAAACAGTGAAGTTTCTCGTCTGGCTTGGGCAGTACAAATGCTGTGCATAAAACACTTGGAGTAGTTCAGGCACAAGACAAACCCACCTGAATGGACGAGAAACACTGTCTGTTGCCATGGCAGCCTGATCTAATTACATGAGTGATCGGGGCTGGAGTAAGAGCACAGAAAACCTACACCACTGACACGTATCTACATGATGTGAAAGACCGGCACTCAGGAGGTTCAGGGGAGCCCTTCAACCTCTGCTTTATGCAGAGGTGGCATTCAAGCCCATTTACTTGTGAAGCTGCTAAAATATTGACTGATGCATGCACAGTTAGAGGGCAATCAGAGGAGATTAAATGCCACAGTGCTAGTCGTTTTATGGTGCAATCCCTTTCCAAGAGTTTATGTGCAGGATTTTCTCCATCTCCTCCCTGGTGGTTTCCTCCGGCAAGGTTCATTCCCAAAACTGCTCAAGTATCAAACTACCTTTTGCCCACCTCATAAACCAGAGGGTGGGCTTAACAGGAGCTTCTAGGAACTGCAGGGGTTCCTTAGAAACCCAAACAGAAAAGGCTTAGTTGAAAAAGTAACTAGCTATGCCTAAAAATAACCACCAAGTAACTACCCACTGCTGTGTGCGATATGGAACGATGGATGATGTTTAAATATTAAGAACAGTCTGCATTATAAAACACAAATGTCACTGAGATGTGACTACTAGATTGCCAAAGGAGAACTTATTTGCATACACACATTCCCGTGCATGCACGACAGGATGTGCAGGGAGGATGCCACTCTAAGGCATTAGTTTTTATCTGTGGGTGTAATAGGGTCTTCTAATTTTGCTAATTGTATCCTGCGGATCTCACAGGAAAGCTAAGAATCTCTTCAGGGACAGAACCAGTTTGGAGGAGTCCCTACTGCACAGCATACGGTAAACAAAATAAAAATAGCTTGCCTTTCTTGTTAGCCACATCGCGCATTATATAACCAGCTTCTTCCGACTGGTTTTTTTTTTCCCCCCTGCCCTTACTACTCTTCAGCAATTTCTCAATCTTCCCAAGTATTTATATTACCCTCTTATCTGTAGGATGATATACCAAGAAAGCAAAGCCAAACAAAAACCACGGGATCGAACCGAACCCCATCGTCCTCAGAAACTGATTTTTTGGGGGGGGGGGGTGTTTTGTTTTCTGGCAGAGTCTCGATTACCACCCTACTTTCACCCCCCACTAAGGTTTTTGCTCAATCTCCCTAGAAAACCTGAATTGTTTCACCGCTTCCAGTCAGCGCCCTACGTGGTCTGAAATAAAATGAAAGCAGAAGCCAGAGAGTTTAAGAAGGCCGTCTGCGGGGTGGGGGTGGGAGGCCGAAGAGGGGTCAGAGCGCTGCGGAGTCAGCCAAGTGGCCACGGAGGGGCCCTCTCCCTTACTGCACGGCCCTCGCCCCCCGCTTGGCGCGCGCGCGCGCACACACACACACACACACACGCACACACACACACAGA